GGGAAAGAGGCAGGATTAGTCCACTGGCCTGACTCAACAGAAGAGCACCGGTCCAAAAACATAGATACTGACAGCAGTTAACACTCTTAAAAACCCACATAATTACTGACTTTTGCGCCAACATCTACTGATTAGATCCACCATGAATCTCAGCTGAATTGAAACCTCTTATGTTGACAATTACTGACTACAAAGAATAAAAAAGGGATCAGGCCCACAAAGTTTCTGAATTTAGCCGGGTTCTGCCTTGTTTGCAGTATAAAAATAGAAACCGTTGTGTTTGAATAATTGGGTCCCCATGCACATCTGCACCTACACAAGTCAATCACTGCAGAATTAAAGGACACTTACGCTCAGGCTGTTCTGGAATGGCCATACGCAGCCATTCCAGGTTGACGCTGTACTGGCTGCTGATGCTGGACGTCCGGCTGCCAAAGGGATGAAGAGGGATGGTGCCTATGACCAGTGGCAGCTCCAGACACAGCTTGGATGACCCAGGAACATCAACACAAACCTGTAAGGAGGAAAACTGTTAATGACGTCCATGCAAAGTCCTTTAGATCCAGCAGCATGCACAACATTCAAACTCAAAAAATAAAGCTACACTTGACTGACCTTGAGCATGTATTCCACTCTGATGATGCGGCACTGCAGGATGGAGGGACCGACAGGTGGGATCTTGATGGCTCGACCGTGCCAAGTTTCCCGGCATCTGGCACCAACAATGTCGCCGCACAGGGTGGCCACCACGGAGCGCTTCTGTTTCATGGTGCCGCGGGCGATGAACGTCTGTGTCTGAGTGATGAAGGCTTTGGGCACAACTGATCTGGAGGTAGAGTTGTCGAACTCAGCAAAAACAGGTATCACCTCACCTGCAGAACAGGAAAGCACGTTACAAACTGCAAGAACTTCCTATTATACCAACAAAGAATACATTTATAGAAGGTGTTTTCTCAGGCTTTAGATTCGTACCTGGTGTGTAGCCTTTGCGGTCAATCTTTGCAGTTACAGACACCTGTCCAAAGTTGCGGTACCAGGCCCGTGCCATCTTATCCTTCGTTCCAGCCTGTGGTGCCTAGAAATGACAGAACCAAATCAGTAAGTGCCTTGGGAACACCATGAGGTGTATAATAAAACATTCATGAAAAGTGAGAGCTGACATGCTCACCAGTAAAGCTGGTGTGTTGATGTCAATGGGCTCGATAACCGTGAACTCCCTCTTAATCTTTTTGACAGTGGTCCACGGCCTGTGTAGCTTAACTTTGACCCAGTAACGGATGCTGCCATGTTTCCCCTCAAATGAGGTGACCAGTGTCTCCTCTGGCAGCTGGAAGCTGAATGGAAATTCATGTCTGCCAGCGGGAAGGACAGTCACTTCACCATTATCTGAAAAGAGAGAGAGAGAAAAAAAGTTGCATTTCATTCACTTGTTGTTTTGTTCATTTCATTCCTAGATGATCAGTATCCTCCTGTGAGAGTCAAGTTATTAACCGGGAAATGCAGCATGAAGCAGTTCAGCAAAATGAAATAAAGTTTCTTAATCTTTACCATGATTGATGGTCTAGTATCCCTTACACAATCCACTCAAGTAGAGTGAGTTTGCAAGAGAGTAATAACAGGTATTTTTGCTGACCAAGAACATGTTTTCCTCAAGCTGTATTATGGTACTGCTCTGGTTTTTCACCCTCTTGCTGCATAGGTCCAGGAACATGCGTGTGCTCAGCGTGCATGTGTTTTGAGTCTATTTGTTATCTGGAAATTAGTATTTAACTTAATTAACACTTCCACTGTCAAAACCTCTTAATGAGTCAGGTTTTTCATGCACAACTCCAGAACAAGTTCAAAAACCATGAACTAATCTGTATGACATGTTTTTAAATTGCTAGTTGTATGCAGGTTTTTCCACAAGCAGAAAAACAACTCTGTAAGAAAACCACATAAAATCAGCAAAGCCCCAGTAGTCTATTTCCTGTCTACGCTTTAAACCAAAACAGCTCTGTGCCTAATACATGAAGACAGACACCAGAGGCTCTCTCGGGAGAAAAATCCAGGATTTTCTCTGAATGAGTAAAAAGTCAGATGCCAGTACCATTTGTTCGACAGATGCCAGTACTATTTGTTCTTCGACAGATGTTTTCACAGCAAAGGACTATAAAGTGCAGCATGTTTCACTTTCTATACAGTATGGTTTAACTTGGACGTATCCATCTCTCAAGATGCTCTACAATCATGTAAACTTAAGTCTAAGTCACTGAATATTAATCGACTTTGCATATACAGTACAAACAAGTTTACTAATGTGATGTTAACTAGAGGACGACTTAGAAAAACATGTTACAATCTGCTTCACTATCACTCATTTAACTCTGCAACTAAACCATTAAAGCGCCACTATTCACAGCCTGCAGCCAAACTAGCCCAGTGCCTCATCACTTTCACTGCGTTTCAGGATGCAGCTTTTTCTGTTTCACAAACAGGACGCACTCTCTCGAGTCACCGTGCCTGCACAGCGGACTGACCTGCCTGAAGAAGCACCTCTCTCCGGTTCAGGTACTCCACCTCGTCGCTGTAGTTCTGGGTGTACGCGGTGCTGGAGCCGGCGGACCGGGATTCGGTCCAATGCACTTTTGCGAAACCTTCGGCGTGGAGCTTCAGGGAGTCCACCTTGCTCACCCCAGACAACTCAATCACCACCCGGCCGGACACCACGTCCCCGCTGCTGAACACCGGAGAACAATCCACCTCCGGAGAGTCGAAGACGATGCCAAACTTTTTCAACTTGTCGAAAATCATTTTTCAGACAGCGCAAAGGTTTGCGATTCCTCAATTCTTATTCCGCAGCGTGTTTAGCTGAAGTTGCTCTTTAGGCTGCAGATCGATAGTTCGCGTGTTTAAAGCTCAAACTACTAACTCCTTTCGTTTTAGCAGCCTTATACAAGGCTACAGAAAATGGGCGGAGCTTCCGCTTTATTATGTAAGGCCTCAGGAGAAGGATGCTGCCTTCAGGTACTCTTCCACGGGCTTGTACACAAGATCTACTCTGTCCAAACTATCTCCATATGTCCCAGGAAAGTTTCAAATGGTACACAGTAGAAGATTCGGAGGGCGAAGCTTTACGACAAACACTGCAGTAGCTGTTTCCAGTAATAATTTCACTAGGGAAGAAATGATGTGTGAAATCAGATGATGCCAATGCTGTAACAAAAGTCGTCAGTGTCTGTTTTGTTAATACCTCGCTACAAAGATGACATTTCCAGAGCTGCAATTCTCTTTTTAATTTATTTATTGGGCAGCCTTATAGTTCCACCTTTCCTTTTTCACACTTACAAGTTGTTCTTTTCGTATACAAAGAAGTTACAAACAGTGTGAGAACAAAACCACCCCATGATGTCAACATTTATGAAAAGGACAGCCTTTACTGCCACAACGTCCCTGACAGCATAGTCACATCTTGACAGCTTGCATGTCTGTGAAATTCCCACTTCTTATGTCCTATTTACCTCAAAGCCCATGCGAGCCTGAAGGCAGCATCATGAACATGCAGACTGGGTGTGGAGGAGTGAGGAAAACACTGCCGGTGATGATTGATGGTTACAGGTTCTTAGAAGAAAACAGGCCTACTGAGCATGCCTCAGTCTCATAGAGCTCCACCATGTACAGCTCTGGGGAAAATAGCTTCACTGTGGACCAAAGCTGTTTACTCAATATGTAGCTTTGAACATGCTGTACAGGGCTGCCACACGTATGGAAAACAGCTATGCACACAGTCAACTTATAAAAAGCAACTAGGGTCTCTGTGCCTTCAAAAAGAAAGGGATACCATAGCTCAAGTCTCCATAATTAAAACGTGTGCAACAACTGGGTCACTCGTGTGACTAAGAGCATCCATTCAGCCATTTCCTGACATCTCAAATTCATTGTCAGCATTTCCAAACAAAGTCAATTCTGAGCAGAACTGATTTTTCTTCCAAACTCTTCAGCAATGAATAAGCTATACAAACACTGGTTCACTTATAAGCCTGTTTACTTTTTTCATTTAATAAAAAAAAAAAAAAAAAAAAAAAAAAAAAAAAAAAAAAAAAAATTAGCCCAGAGAAAAACAAAGTTGTTTGCTCTTTTGTTCTTTGGGATGAGGAGTTAGTTCTCCAGTGCCACCTTCTGGACATGTGGAGGCAACTTGCACAGCAGCAGGACAAGCTGGGTGCTGGTATGTGATGTGATAAATGTAGTGTAATGTTAGAAACTACATGTGGGTTTTAACTGCATCTTAACTTCAGCATAATCAATTCATGTGTCAAAAAATCTGTACTAAGTGATGGCAAACTCTGGGAGGTCAGTGGTCCAGTTTTTATTAGTATGTCAGTTTTTGTTTTGAAAACATCACAGGAGCCCTGCTTTGGGGTTAAAATCAAGCCCAACACGCCACCTGCTGGTGAGCAGGAGCAGCAACTTGGCACTGCCTCAGAGAAGGTGGTTCTCTGTACAGAATGATGAACCTGATAAACATTCCCACTGTGCAGATGACTTAGTGTGATCTGCCTAATCTTCATTGAAAACACATGTACCACTGCTACAGGCTGAAGTAAACATATTTATCTTTGTGACTTCCTCTCTGTTTACATACAGTAAATAGATGCTGAGTACAGCAAATATAAAAACTGATGTGCTATGTACTTTAAAGGTGGGGCTTGTGTGTGTAATTTATGCATGCAGAACTATAAATTAAATTAGCTGTCAATAACAGTAATGTAAAATGAATGGAGAGCAGCTGGCTGTAGGTTGAAGGAGGGTGAAGGAGAGGGGAGCTGTTTTTCGGGTTGCCGTGGCCACACAGGCTGAATTTTTTTAAACATGCCCTCACCTTCCTTCCTCCTTCCTTCCTTTCTCCTGTATCACCTTCTCTTCATTTCTTGCTGCTGTAGTCCCACCTAAATAGAGCGTAACTTCTTTATTTCTACTTTATACTTCTAAACATTTACTTTACTTTGCTATTTTGCCCAGTCACTCATATGTGCAAACTTAGTGGATAGTAAACCCGATTCTGTTCCTGGAAGGATTTGAGGAATATATGAGAAGGTTGAAGCTTTGCAAAAACAAATAGCACCATCATTTCCTGGACAGATTCTGCAGATAACAGACATTTACAGGTCTAAATGCCCATGTACTGACTGCAGCTTAACCTCCTACTGGTGCAAGTAGCTGTCTAAAGTATAAAAAGCAAAACTGTGCGTAATTTGACAAAAAAAAGTCAAGTCTATTTATATAATGGTTGTATGGATTTGGAAGATATTCTGGAAACAGCACAAATCATGGTGTGTCCACTTTACTGCAGAAAAATGGCTTTTGCAAACGCCTCGCCGTTGTGGTGTATGTGGTGTGCTGTGCAGGCTCTGCGCAGACATCTTTGGTACGCAGGGTTGAGCAGAGGTGCGCTGAAAGTTCAAATATGTTGAACTTTGACCCCATTTGCACTGACCTTTGGGCACACAGCCAATCAATGTCAACCACTGTTTGAACTGATGTGAAACTAGTTTGCCTACTTTTGTTTATGAATTTCCCAAACTGTACAACATATGATCGTGATATCAAGATCAGATAAACACAGAAAACCTATTTAAGTACTACAAAATAAGCACACAAGAGCTGCTACCAAGGGTATTTTAAAAAATACAGTTTCAGCCTCTAAAATGTAGTGATCTACTGCTAGCAAGTTTAGCACTGTAGCTAAGAAAGTGCCATTTTGTACAGCACCCCCTGTGAGTTTGTACTTGAGTTTTGGCACTGGCGAGCGCAAAACTCTGTTGTTTTTTTTATGTTTATGTTTTTATGCATACATGTAAGAATTTCATTGTACAGGGAAACACGTTTCCTAACTGTGCATATGACAAATAAACACTTTGAACATGCATCCATTATCTATACCACTTATTCCTGAATAGGGTCATGGAGGGGCTAGAGCCAATCCTAGCTGACATTGGGCGAGAGGCGGGGGTACACCCTGGACAGATTGCCAGTCTATCACAGGGCTGACACTTGGAGACAAACAACCACACACACTCACTCCTACAGGCAATTTAGAGTCCCCAATCAACCTAAGCTGTATGTCTTTGGACTGTGGGAGGAAGCCCGAGTGCCCAGAGAGAACCCACGCAGGCACAGGGAGAACATGCAAACTCTGCACAGAAAGGCCCTGGGTTGGCCAGGGCTCGCCAGGGCTCGAACACGGAACCTTCTTGCTGTGTGGCAATAGTGATAACCACCACGCTGCTGTGCCACCCGACTTTATACATCTCATTCCAAATTTAAATCCCAAATTTTGTTACTTTTTATATTTATATTACCCATCAGCCCTGACAAATGTGTGACTTTTGATGACCGCATCATTTGATAATGGTTTATTAGGAGTGGGCCACATAGATAAAATCTTTTATCACATCACGCTGTATTTGACTGTGTGGATGCTATAAAGCATCCACACTATGTTCTCCTGATTATTCTGGGATCTTCCATCTGTTTTTTGGCACTTTATAAGTCCAGTATACTTTCAGCTATACAGGCCATTCTGGTATCTACCTGTTCAGCTCTTCAAGGACATTCCTTCTTCTATACAACTTTTTAATAATGTTTATACTTTTTAATTTATTCAGCTTTTTTGTTTACAATAGAAGTCAATGAGAGCTCAAAGTGCTGTGTCAATGACAGTGCTGGAGTGCCATCTGGTGGTCCATAAAATGCAGTGCAATTGAGACATGGCACATCATAACTCCTCTCTCTCCCTTTCTTCTCTCTCCTTGACAGCTGCTCTGTCGGCGGGCAAAGAATCTTTAGATAGACTGAGCCATGAAGCATCCACCAGTTGGAGTTTTCACGGCCCAGTGAAAGGAGGACGCATTTCTCAGCCACACTTGAAGGGGCCATTAAAATGGGACAACTGTGTTGTGATGCAATCGGTCTTCAAATGCAGCCTTCAAAGGACGCAACCCCCAAGTTGGGACATAGCTTATATCTAAGCAAAATGGTGATAAAATTGGCAAAGTGGGAAGACTGAGGTGGACTGGAGCATCCTACCAGTTTCATCAGTGGCCACATTATTCTTCACATGGAGATTGAGATACTGTGATATAATAAACATTTTCTGGAATATTTTGCAGCTGGTGAGAGTAAGTAAGATTGAAAATGCGGATATGATAACAGGTAACATTTTTAAAAATGAATAGACTAAATTGGCCAATTACCACAAAAATCAGACAGATAATCACTAACTGAAATAGTCGTTAATTGCGGACTGATGTACAGCACATCAGTTAATGGGTGATGTGGTACTTTCTTGTGATTCAGGTGAATATTTGAGGCTGAAAATGTAGGCTGGATAAATGACACCCTCTTCGAAATAATATTTTGTTATTTAGCTACTTTGCTAATGATTTTTCTGCATGCTTTCTACTAAAGCAACAACAACGAAAACTCTGTCTAGGACTCTGAATCTAGGATATACTTATATTTACTCGTTCGACCAGACTGGGAAGGCAAACCGCATGCACTGTTTACAGAATATCTAATGAAACATTAACCACTGCCTATGGTTATTTATTCAGTGAATGGTGTATGGCCTATCTTCTCAGCCTCTCTGTTTCCAAGCTGCCTGACTTCCCCACCAGGGGAATTTCACACTTTGCAGAATAACAACTACTACAGCACAGGCCTCTGCAAACCACTAGAGTTTATTTGGACTCTGCGCTAATGGATTAGTGTTTAATGTTAGGACTGAGTTGTCTAGCAGATGTATCTGGATGAGCCAGCACTGACTTCTCCCCCAGGTTTCCATGTATTACATTTGGCCCAGGTGGCATCTTTTTGTAAACTGCAGTAACTACAAGACACTGTCTACCAGCTGGGACATGACAGAACATCCGCAGTTTTATGC